CCGTACAGACCAATGCTGTCTCTAGCTCTTGAAGAAGGTGGTTTCTTAACATCAGCTTTATGGATAAATATATTTCGTCTTTTTTCCATTGATATGTGTCCTCCAGCATTCTGTTATCTTAAGACATTACTATGAGTGTAAAGAGATAATCATTTAAGAATTCTTTTTTTTGAGACAGAGTCTTGCTCTGTCACCAGGCAAGAGTGCAGAGGTGTGATCTTGGCTCACAACAACCTCTGCCTCCGGGGTTCAATCTATTCTCCTGCCTCAGCCAAAAATTCATATTAAAGCAGTGGTCATTAAATGAAATTTTGGACACCCTCACTTTAGACACATCTGCTATTCAGCAAAATTCTACTGAGCTTTTACACTGTGTCAGACAATGTGCCAGACACCAAGAATGCAATGAAGACATGGAACCTATCCTTAAAAATCCTACTGACTCTGGCTGTGGAAGACAGATCTGAAAACAAGGAGGTGTTTTAGAAGTTGTGTTTCTGCAAAAGGCACATGGAGACATAAAGAAAAGTTGTGTTGGTAACAGAAGTGAGTCAGAAAATGCTTCTGAGAAAGAAGGTGGGCCCAGAGGTATTTCTTTGAGGGTGAGCAGGTGTAGACCAGAGAGAAAAAGGGTTGTATTTCAGGCAAACTCAGAACCATAAAATGGCCTGGTAAGTGAAGGAAAGCAAGCTGTTCAACTCTGGATGAAGTAAAAGGTTGAAAGGAGGAGTGAAGACACAAGTCTGACCCTTAGGTAGGACCCCTGGGTCAGCTGTCCTAGTCCCCAGACACGGTGGGAGACTGGCTCAAGCCACTGTACCTTACTGCCCTTATGTGAATATTATTACATTTCCATGTTGAAATTCCTGTTTTAAATTATATTCCAAGGGGCCTAGTATACACAGGGTAAAGAGGTCTCCTTTCATTTGTGTTTATCTTGGAGAAACCACATTAGCTTTGTGGTCTTGGGTTCCTATCTCAGAGGTACATGAAGAAATATGGCTGAACATTCAAAAAAGGTGGGAAAGAGGATCAAAGAAGTCTGAACTTTGTTGTGTATTTAATGGGCCACCCTGGGGCGGGGGCACATTAAACATACAAAAAAAGGAGAGTTTCAGAAAAGTCTTTCTGGCAACACAATAGAGGTTTTTGAGGTAAAAGGCAGGGAGAAAGAAAAAAACACAGTAACAGTGGAGTCGTGATATTGACAGTCTGAACTAAGAAACAGTGAGGATAGGATATTTTATACCCTACAATACTGTAGTCAGCAGAATAATGGTCCCTTTAAAAAAAGTACCACAACTCTATCTCTTATTGGTAGTGGTATTTGGGGCAGTTTAAAAACCCTGATCCTCAGTTTCCTCAACTGTTTAAAAAAAAAGAATAGCAGTGTCTTAAGTCAGGATCCCCAGGGTCAAACCTGAGATGATGATTGTATGCAAATGATTTATTAAAGAAATGCTACCAGGCATAGGAAAGTCTTTGGCCAAGGGCATCCTGGGAGAGAAGTAAACTCACAGGTAGTTCTGTCTGGCTTTCTGTGCCACTAGACAAAGTGAGTCTAGTAGTGTTTGGGCAGTCCTCCAAAGACAGTCTTGGGGCAGGCTGTGAGAAGCAAAGAACACAGAAACCGGAGGAAGGATACTCAGATTCAACCAAAGGGATCCGAGGAGATCTGGGTGGAGACCATGTCTGCCTCGAGCTTCTATCTCACAGAACTCTTCTAAGAACTGCATGCACTCATATCTTTCTTTCACTTTTAGGATTCCTAAACTATTTTTCTTTTGGAATAGCATGCAACATTTAGTGTTCTGTTCTACACTCAGAGTGCTCAGTGATGAAATAACTTTTTCTTCACAGAGCATCAAATCGAAAAAGGGTAAAGACAGTGGAGAAATAAAGTAAATGTGAGGAATACCATAATTGAAAGTTAAAAAAAAAGTGTAATCCCAGTTTCTGACTCCAAGGATAGTGCTTTCCTCAGGGTTCCAATTCAGTCAAGATCCAGTCAAAGGGTATTGACTATTAGTAGAGGAAAAGAGCTAAAGCATACAGTAATAGTGGTTACTGGGAGTAGCCACTACCTCACAGGCTGCAGGAGCGTACCCAAGGAGAATAACCGAGAAGAACTTCCCCCAACCCACCCTCCACCCTACCAAGCCTGAGCGTAGTACCTCATTGGAAATAATATGGCTGTGGCCCACTTAATGGTCCAGAAATTTAAGGTGTCACACACTGAGCTGCTGAGGAAACCATCAGCTGTGTTTTCAGTAAAGCTTGCTAGGAAGCCATTCCATTGGCATGCCAGTGATGCTCCACAGAGAGATGTACCCTGGGGAACCGGCCAAATTGACTGAAGATTATGTAACAGGGCCTTCTTGCACACCACTGGCCAGAAAGTTACTCACTGGCCACCACATCATAGGAGCAAGCAGAAAAGCACTGGAATCAAGAAAAGGAGCTCCTTCTTTCTGCAGTGTTCCCCTAGCACCTTCTATTGACAAAGGCAAATAGATCGGTTGTGCCAACCGATCATAAAGACATTTGCAGATTTCAGCTCTCATGTCACAATTTAGGGCAAAGAAGAGTGGCTTTGAAGTTGAAGAGCATGAAATTAACAGACACACACCTCAATGACATGCCTGGGTTTTAGGGGATGGGAGGAGCATGCTGTTATGACCAAATACTGCTCCATTTGCTTACTTTTGTCCTAATTGACCCTGAAAGAAAAAGCAGACCCAACCTTTTGGGACGCTATGTACTGAGAGCTGGTATGACACATGGTAGGTGCAGAGAGAGAAAGAGTTCAATTCTGTGACTGAGACAAAGTCTAGAGCTGAACCACTTGGGTCTGAATGTAAGTTTCACCATTAACTAGATTTGTAGCCTTGCAAAAGTCCATCCTTCTATACCTCAGTTTCCTTACCTGTAAAAGGAGATGATAACAGTACCTACTTTATCAAAACGGCAGGAGAAATGAAGTATTGTTTAAAGCCTATACAACAACATCTAACATGTATTCAGAACCCTAATAAATATATATATATTTCTCATGATGAATTTCCATTTAGAACCATGCATCATAATGCTAACACTCAACTTCTTCGGGTGTAGTTAGGCTTTGCTACCAAGTCTTGCCTACTCCTGGGCTCTGGCTTCAGAATCTGTCACTGCCCCGGCTCACTGAATAAGCTTCATTAGTCCAACCAACTCACAGAGAATCTATTTCCTCAAGTGAAAAAAGACACAAGGTTAAACAAATCATCTTACTTTAAGACGTCTTCCAGTTCTGACTGCATTTGATCCCCCTCTTCCCCAAATAGTAAGTTACACCTAAAAGGGAAAGAGGAAAGGAATTATCATTTTGAACGCCTACCACCTGTGCCAAGAAAGCACTGCTGTGCCTGCTTTCCCTAATTTCATCCTCACCACAGTCCTAACAGATTAGTATTTCTAAACTCTGTTTAACAACTAAGAAAGCTGAGGATCAGGAAGGTCAAGCACTTTACTCAAGATCACACTCTGGGTGAGCAGCAGAGCCTGGATTAAAATCTGGTGTTTCTGTTTGGGTCGACTCAACATTTTTAACTCTACTGCTTGTCTCCCACATCACCTTCATCTCAGACATTAAGAATCCTACCTGTTCAGTGCCTTTCATGCTCTACTTTAAAGAGATAAGTGGGTGTGCAACTTTTTTTTAGTCTGAAACATATTATTTAAAAGTTAAGCAAATGAAATTCATTTAGCAGTTGCAGGAATTTTTTTAAAAAAGATCACTCTTAATGGCTCACAGGAAATTAGCTCTCCCGTGGAAATCCGCAGTCTTCCTGCATCCTTTTGCCTGTGTCCTCACCTGTCCTGAATGCAAACGTGGCTAAAGGAAGGGAACATTGGTTGGGGTCAGCGAGCTGAGTTCCAGCCCAGACTGTGCCATTTTTATCCTAGGGAGCCTTCTTCCCTTTCTCTGTGAGCAGGGGAGTGTTGGGCCAGGTCGTCTTAAGGTTTCTTGCCCAGGTACAAGCCGGACTTTGGTGGCTTTCCTGGGTAAGGGAGTGCCTCTGCCTTCTCTCTGCTGCAGGTCCCTGGTTAATGCCCATTTCTCTGCGAAGGCTGCTCACTGCATCCGCCCCCTCCACCCCTAGCCCTGGACCCTTTCTTTCTGCTTCTCCTACTCGGGAAAAGTGAAGCCCCTTACCCTACCTCCCAAGAGTAAGGGACAGCCTTTCACCAGACAACCGCAGCACTCCACTACATTACCCTACTGTGGGGGCGCGCGAGGCTGCTTCCCTCCTCTGCGCAGTCAGGGTAGGCAGCCTCCAGTTCTCTAACTTTCTCCTACTCCAAGAGGGGATTCTCAGAACTTTGAGACAAATAAGTGACCGTATAGATGAAGAGATGAAACCTCTCTATGCAGTGCTCCCAGCTCCCAGGCCTTCTCCCGCAATGCCCCGCCGGGTCCCCCCCGCCCCGCCCCAGCTCCTTCTCACGGCAGGATCCCGCGCCAGGAGGCTCGCAGCGCCGGAGATGTGGCACCAGGCGCGCCACAAGTCCAGGTCCCGCTATTTCTGCTCCATTGGAGCCCAGGTCGGAGGAAGTCATCACGTCCTACCCCCCCAGCAGCCTGGCGGGCCGCTCGGCCGCACCGAGGCTGAAGGAAGGTCTGCACTGGGCTCGAGGCCCTTCCTGCCGGCCTCCCCACGCCGGGCCTCGGCTCCCCTCCTTCCCGGCTCCCGCCTCCTCCCGTAGGCTGCCAGGCAGACCCAGCCTGCCTCTCTCTCTGCCTTCACTACCGGGTCAAGCTGCGGCGGGAGGGAGGGAGGCAGCGGCGAAGTCCTCCCTGGCTCCCCACCCGGCGCGCACGCCCCTCCTCCCCTACCTCCTCCCCTACCTCCTCCCCTCTGCCAGTACAGTACAACTAGTACACACACACACACACACACGCACCCTGTCACTGCAGCTGCCATGGATATCAGCTAACAACACACGCCCGGGCGCGCGCGCGCGTTCCCACTCGCACCACGCAGGAGTGGCCCCCGGCATCCCTACCCTCCTTCCCCACCCCCACCGCACCCGCTCACCAGCTCCGCTACTGCTCGCTCCGGCTGCTGCCGCCGCCGACGCCACCACCACCGCTTCCTCTGCTGCGGGGCCACAGCCTTGAGTGTCATTCCAGGGACAGCACAACCTCACCCAAGCTCTCCTACCTCTGCCCAGCGGTCCCTCTCATCCTCCCCCTTCCTCGTCCACACTCCATCCAAAGAAGAGGGAAAGCACCGAATAGAGGGGGGCGAAGGCAAAGTCTGCTGTTCTTCCCCGGGGCCCCCTTGCTCCTCCATCCTCATTCTCTCATCACCAACACCCCCAACCCCAGAGGACCCCAAGGAACTGAGGCGACTCACCCCACTGCCATGTCCAAAAGCTTGAAAAAGAAAAGCCACTGGACTAGCAAAGTCCATGAGAGTGTCATTGGCAGGAACCCGGAGGGCCAGCTTGGCTTTGAACTGAAGGGGGGCGCCGAGAATGGACAGTTCCCCTACCTGGGGGAGGTGAAGCCCGGCAAGGTGGCCTATGAGAGCGGCAGCAAGTTGGTGTCGGAGGAACTGCTGCTGGAGGTGAACGAGACCCCCGTGGCTGGGCTCACCATCAGGGACGTGCTGGCCGTGATCAAACACTGCAAGGACCCCCTCCGGCTCAAGTGTGTCAAGCAAGGTGAGCGCAGCGGCTTGCTCAGTGTTTTGCCGGGCGGTGGGACCGCTCGGGGCGCAGGGCAGTGAGAGGGTGGGCGCACACGTTGAAGGGAGTGTGTTGCGCGATGATGTGGTGGGGGGCAGAGGGGACCCGCAGTGCAAGTGAGCTTCGCTGGGGATTCGACTCGGGGGCTAAAGGGAGGGGAGGGGCAGGTTGCGGTGTGGCGTGCAACTTTGTTTGCTCAGTTAGACCCTCCCCTTTGAAGGTGCTCGGCCTGGCCTGACCTCCTCAGAGCTCCCGGGGCAAATTGAATGTGCGTCAGTAGCATCACCCAAAGTAGATGAAGAGCTTTTGGGGAAGGAAGGAAGGAAAGAAAGGGAGGAAGGGAGAGAAGGAAGGAGCAACTTGAGGGTGCAGCGGCATCACCAGCTGGGCTAGGAAGAGAGGGTGATGGGGTGAGCACAGAACTGCGTCCAGCGTTTCGGGAGCTGGACTGGAGACGCCTGGGTCCCCAGCTGTCTCTTAGAGATCCTTGAGCCACTGGCTGGTGAGGAAGGGAAGGAACAAATTGCTTTGGGCGGTTTGACCGGTCTTCTGTAACTTTTCCCCCTCTTCACTCCTCTGTCCTCCCCCGCCCACGGTCGTGTCATGTGGGCACCGCGCGTCACGTGCGCACTGACTAACCCCTGCGCTCACCCCTAGCCAGCCGGCCCGAGGAGGCTCCGGAAGAAGGCGCGGCGCTAGGAACGTGGTCTAGTGCTGGGCGGGGTTCGGAGGGGATGGTTGTCGGCCTGGACATTACTCAGGGGTTGCCCTCCTTGAGTAGAAGTCCTCTGTGGTTGGGCTCTCCTCTGGCTCCGATTTGGGGGGCGTGATTTGAGGGAGGAGTTGGATGAAACCCCAGCTGGTTACAGCCCAGGCTCCCTCAGCTCCAACCTGACTTTAATGAGCGTCAATTAAAGCCTGTGATGTAGATTTGGAGAGACTGGGATCATCCAGAACTCTGTCTTTGCTTGAAAGAAAATTAGGGTGCAGAAGGATAGAAGAATGAGATAAAAGTTTGAATAGAGGACAACTTTAAGTAGAAAAAAGTAGTTTTTTTTTAAAGCTCACTGCACATTTCATGTGCGCTGTGTAAGGATATTTGTGGCACAGGCATATCAGCCTAAGGATTTGTTGTTGATGTTACACTGTTTGTCCTGACTCAAAGGTGGAATTGAGCATGTCATGACCTGCATTTTGTCATTGAATCATGATCAACTACCAAGAAACGCTCTTGCGGAGATGTACTGCACTGTAAAACTATTCTCTAAAAAACTTGTTTTCAAGTAAACAAAAGAATAAAGTCTTGGGCAAAGTTTCTTAAATGTAAATTGCCATACAAGAAAATGTTTTCCTTGGGGATTCTTGAGTATTAAGAGCTAATAAAGAGAGATAGGCTATTATAAGTCAACATAGCTCCATACTATATAACACTGAAGGGATGTGAGTTTGGTAAGAAGGAAAATAAGAGTATCTTAATATTTTTGAAGATAACATACCTAAGGTTCGAATATAGAGATTCTCGTTAACATGTTCGATGTCAAGATACCACCTTATAGATATAGATATAACTGTAAATATCTTTGGGTCCAAAACGTTCATTGCACAATTATGACCATGAGTTTGTTGGCCAAATGCTTGGCATTTGTCATGGAACGTTCCTGCAACAGTTAAACATTGTTAAATTGTACTTAATAGTGCCCTACAAAGGGATGCCCTATGATAGTTTGCAATGATGACCACATCTTAAATGTTGTGTTCAATTCTGAGCACTCCTTGCTGAGGTGGATGTTGGCAAACTGTCAAACTAGTAAAGAGTAAGTTCGAAAGAGAAATAAAGGAAGATTCTTGAGTATTATATGTATCTTCTATGAAATGCAATGGGGAAGACTTAACTTGGAGAAGTGAGAGAAATGAAACCTATCATTAAATAGTGAAAAGCTATCAGGTAGAAAAAGGAATTCTGACTATCCTGTGATAGCCCACAGGACAAAATGGTGATAAATCTATGACAAATTTTAAAGGATGAAGCATCTTTACTTTCATTAAATCATTATCTTTCTAACAGAGGTTTCCAAAATCCGTGGGCTGAGGTTCCAGTCATTGTGGGTATCTGTGAAGAGGCTGAAATGACCATATGCCATAGATTCTTATATAAGATGAGAATCTAGACTAGATATTATTTAAATCCTGCCATGATTTTGCTGTAAGGTGGTCTGCAATCACTCTTGTATTTAATTTTATGTGAAAGATTATTGCTTTTAGAACTCTGAATATATGCTTATAATATGATATATTTAGGGGAAAATCTCTTTTCACTCTATTTCAACCCTCAGTTTCAGGCTTCACTGGTTCATTGATGATAAATTCATATAATGATATCCACAGAGCCCCCACAGGAGCCTGCTTCACCTTTTGAATCACCGCTGACCAAAACAGGAAAAAAAAATGTTCCTTTTACTTTTTGTGGAATAAGTAATCCTCTTGTATATTCTTTTAAATATGATTCATGTTGCTATTCTAATAATTCTTTTCCTCATCCAATAATAGATTTATGATTATAAAAATCAAATTTTTGACACCTTTACTATAGTGCCTGTGTGTCTTAGGTTTCAATACAGATGTCATATGCAGGAAAATCATTTAGAAACTCTTGGCTCAGTAGTTATGTTTTGAGAGAAGCAAAAAACTAGCATAGCTGGAAAACTTAAACATGGTTTGTTTAGCAGTTGCATTTTTAAAACGTTAATGAGATTGATTTTTGATCATTCAGACATTGGGTATGTTATGGAAACCACATACACTATCATAGTTTAACTAAGGCAGATTTTATCAAGAAAAGGTAAGATTTGAATAATAAGAATATCGTTAAAAACTGCACCAGGTAAAATTGCATTATTTACTCAATTTTTATTTACTTGTTTGCCAAACTTTACACTACAGTTATAATTTTAAATTGTTGTAATTTTAAAAGCAGGTGAGCTGCTAGGATTTGCAGACATACTAGACAAGAAATATATGTCATAAGTGTTTCTACACTGTTTAAATGTCTGCAAAACAATTTTTAAAGCTGTTTAAATTCAAGGAATTCTCTTTTAAGCTTTCTGCTTTTAGTCAACACAATAATAAACCACATATTAAAATGTGGTTTATTGTCACATCCAATTATTTTTTATAAACTATGGCATTTTGTTTATAATAGTAAACTTTCCTCACCAAAGTACCTAATTCTAAATAAACAGTAATTCTATGATCTCATTAATGCATCAGACCCAGTTGAAGAAAGTTTTTGAGTGATGCTGAGATCTATATGGAAGTGCTAAAGGTCTTCTTTCATTTTTCTTTTCCCTTTTTAAAGGTTTGCCACTAAAGTTCACAGCAGCCAGTTACATAGGCTTTTGTGTCCTACATTCCTTGCACTATGACTGCTAATGCATCTAAAATCTCATAGAGACCTACATAACCTGAACTTATTTTCCCATTTAATATCTCACAATGGGAAATAGAAGGAAAAAAGTTTTTCTAATTCTTCCCATGTGGAAGATGGGCCAAATAAATCCTTTGAAATTCAGTTGCAGAGAAGATCTACATTACTTTCCCTCCTACTGCTCCTTTCAAAGACACCTTCAAAGGAAAGTAGATCCACATTTATTAAGAGTCACACTTTCTTTTTGACTGACTTCAGGCTAGAATAATAGAGTCAAATCTATATGCTCCTTTGTATTTGGAAAGATAAAAACAAATTATGTCAAATTTCCTGAAAATAAAGATTGACTTTCTTTTCATAGAAATGTGAGGAATATGAATAGTATTGTTTAATAAACAATAACATTGTTTAAATAGTTTGATCAGTTTCTTATTTTAGAACTAAAGTCCCATTGATGTTTTGGACAAGGTTAATGAAACAGTTCTCTTCGGGCATAATTTGTAAGTGAAACCACCGTAGTTTTTTTGTATATGTAGATAATTTAAATGGTATGACCTCGAATATTAAACATGATTATTTGGCTTTTATAAGTACTATCTCTGTTCTTAACATTTACACTGTTCAATCTTTCAGCACATTTATTATGCCCACATTCCTTTTCATTCCTCATAACTCACAAATTCACTTTCATAATGAGAAAAGCATATTCACATTTGACATATCTGACTGATTATAGTTTAAATAAAGACTTTCATATACATAGTAGACGCTGGCAGAATCATGTTCCTCAGGGAGGTGGGGTAGAGTGATGGTTAAAGGTACAATCTTCTAAGTAGACCACCTGGTTTTGATTCCAGAGTATGTCAGTTAATGCTATCTATTTGAACAAGATAACTAACCTGGGTTGGTAATGGAACCTTATGATATTTGATAAGCTATGTATTTAAATCAGGTAGCATCTGGGAGGTGATAAGCATTATATAGGCTTTAGTAAATGCTTTTGCAAACATATTGGTCATTTTGAGCTAGTGACATTATGAAATGTTTTTAATTTTCAAGATATTTTACTCAATTCACATTAACTGAAAAATATGAAATGATTGACTAATAAAGAATAATTTGCAGGTTGTATTTTAAGGCTTTTCTGTAGAATAAAATAAATCATTTGAAACGCATTTATTTGAAGAATAATATCAATAAATGTAATGGAACGTATTTTCACCTTTTAAAAATAACTCCCACTGATTCTGCCTTTATGTGTAAATATCTGCTATTTTATATTTATTTTATAATTTAGACATAGTTTATTTTCACATAGTAATTTATTTTCTTTGTACTCATATCTTTACTCCCAAAGAATTGGTGAATATATTGAATTATTTACTCTAAACTTGACAACATAAAAATTCTATTAGAATTCATTAATTTAAGTTCAGGAATTTATACTTCTTATATTAACATATAATTGTAGTTAAGAGTAAGTTGAACTCTTACTTCTCAGCTAGAAATTAAGCACCTCATAAAGACCAACAATAATAAAACAGTTAATTCA